AAAGGATGTTGGAGAGGGTGGGATGGGGTTCTGGGGGTCCTGGTGGAAACAGGGAAGGAGTTTGGGGATGCTGGGTGTCACTGGGAGGGATTTGAGTGAGTCTGGAGGGGCTGGAAGGAGATTTGGAATTGGAAAGCAGGAGTTGGGATGTGGTTCATTGTGCTGGGAAGAGACTGAGAGGGTTCCTGATGAGTCCTGGTGGGGCTGGGAAGGGACTGGGAGAGGGTTTGGGGGTCCTGGGGCAGTGGGGGGCAATTGGGAAGGGGTTGTGGGATCCTGAGAGGAACAGGAGGGGCTCTGGTGGGTCCTGGGAAGGGACTGGGAGGAGGTTTCAGAGGTCCTGGGTGGGGTGGACGAGAGTAGAAGGGTGCTTGGAAGGGCTTGGGGTGTCTGTGAGAGGTTTTGGTGGAGATCCTGACCCCTGCAGACCCCCCAGAGATGCCGCCAGACTCTACCCACAGCAAGATGCTGATGGGGATGGGGGGCTCAGTTTCTACCTGCGCAAGAAGGTGAGGTGGGGTCCTGGGGATCATATCCTCCCTCTCCTGGAACGTATGTGCTCCCCCGGGGCCCCCAGCCTGATGTCACCCCCTTTTCTCTGCCCACAGAGCTCCTGAGCCTCTGGTGGTCACAGCCCCTCCCTGTGGCCTCGTGCCTGGCCAGGAGCCCCCGCTCCATCCCTGTGCTGATTCTGGAGGGGTGGTGTGTCCCCCCAGCCCCGCTGTCACTCTGCCCCCACCTGGCTTCTCCCAGTGTTCCCAGTAAAGCTTCCCAGTTCGCCCTTGTCCCGTTCATGGGGGGCAGTGGGGAGGGACTCGGGGAGACCCTGTGGGGGGGACCCTGGCAGGGACAGACCCTGCCCTGTGATGGATCCTCCATGTGTCATCCTATTCTGGGGACTCCTTGGGAGACACCAAACTCGAGCATGGCACCCAGCAAACCCTAAAAAGCACTGGGACCCCTGAAGCCACCAGGGAAATTTGGGGAGGGGGTGCATGGGTGGTACCTGGACCATGCCAAGAGCCCAGCGCTGCCCCAGCCCAACCTACCCTGACTCCATCCTGGCTCCTCCTATGGGATGTGAAGGAATTGGAAAAATGGGGATCCAAGGGTGGGCGCTGGGACCGGGGGGAACAGGAGAGGAGATGGAGGAAAAGGGCCAGAGAAGAGAAGGAGGCGGGATGAAGAAGGAGGAGCGAGACTCATCCAAACCCAATATGGGGCTCCCATGCCCGACTTTTCCCCTGCTCCTCCACCCGTGCCCCACTGCCGACCAATCCACCACCCCACCTCTCCCATCCCCCCTTTCACTCAATTCAAGCAGATCCTGGCAGCTTCCACTTGGGAGAAATCCCTGAGTTTTGGGATTTTTGGGGTGCAGCTCTGGAGGGGGACAGATCTGTCTGGCTTTCCCCTCCCTGCTGTGGCCTCTCAGCTGCCCCCCACACCCTGGGGGTGCTGGGATTTCCCTCCTGGGCACAAGGACCTTCATTCCCTTCCAGGAGCCCAGTGCCCAGCTGGGGCTCCAGGCCAGGGGGTCCTTGAGCAGCTGCCCCAGAACCTCCGCCAGGGGCTCCCAGCGCAGCCGCAGCCGCTCGGTCTGGGCTCCCCAAAGCCCTCAGCAAGCCCCAAGTCCCTGCCAGGAACCCTCAACTCCCTCAAACACAGCATCCCCCACAGCCCCTGAAAGTTTCCCCCATGCATGGCCCCACATGTCACTGGCCATGTCCCACCATGTCCTCACCCAGGACTGTGTTCCCACCATATTTCCATCCCTGGCATTGTCCCCCACGTCTCCATCTGTGCCAGTGTCCCCCCATGTCCCCATGAATGGCCACGTGTCGCTCTATTAGGAACGGCGAGAAGAACGACACAGACTCTCTTGGGAGTCGATCAGGAGAATTTCTCTCTGGTTTATTACCTCAGGTCTTTTTTATAGACAGATACGTGAAAAGTACAGAAAAGAAACTCTTATTGGTTAGTAAACTATCACATCACCATCATTGGTCAGTGGGGTACACCACCCCTCGACCTTCTCTTGCAAGAAAACAAGGAACAGAGAAACAGCACCTGCAAGGCTGTTCTCTATCTCTGAGGATTGTTTTAATTCCTCCTTATGAATTCCCAGGCCACCTTCCCAGGCAAGACTGAGAAAGCTATGTGGCCTGCAATTTCCACAGGCACCGTGCTCTCTATTTCAGAGTTAGCATCCATAATTCCCCCTTTTTGTTTTAAAATAAAAAAGCAGTGTTTGTAATCTCCTGCTGGGCCCTTGCAGGAAAGAGAACAAACACAGCACAAGCGGTCTCCTTCAACAGAAATTGGAATGGACACTGATTTAGAATGATTTTCTGGCTTACGTTTTTGATGTTTAAGGATTGTTTTCTTTGCAAGGACTTGATGGTTGACTAGTTCAGTGAACTAACATACACCGACAGGGAAGTTTAAAAGAACACTAAAGTGACAAAACTCAAGAACACCCAGATCCAAACCCAGTCTACTCAATTCTACTATGCAAAATCTATAAACTTTTTACAGATCAATCAACAATGCAATTCATGATGCTTTGATCCCCCTCCCTTTTTTTTTTTTTTTTGTTGTCCATTGGATTTTCCCCTCAAATATAACTGAGGGACTTGTAGAGTTCACATGGCTGTGGTTAAAAGCTTCCCAACTCTCTCCAATCAGTGAAGTAAACAGGGAAGCTATCTGTGGTGTGGAAATGGTTGTTTCGTCAGATTCAGGCTGCTGTTGTTGTTTGTTGGGTTTTGCAGCTGTGTTGCTGAGCGGTTTGAAGTTTGCATGGTTTGAGTAAAGCTGAGTCCATTGTAAAGTTGTTGCTGCTGTTACTCCCTGAAGTTTTTGCCCAGTTGTTGTTGTTTCCAGTGGTGGTTGCCATGACAATTGCGTTGCAGTAGCCAGCACAGGCACTGGCTGTGCTTATGGACCTGTCTGCCCCCCGCACTGGGCTGGGCATGGAGGGAAGGAACCACGCCTGCCTCTGCCGTGGTGGGCGGTGTCGCTGCCGTCACGGGGCTGTGCAGAGGCGGTGCGGAGGCCGGAGGGGACACCCCTGATAAGGGCTGCCGCGATGGGTGTCCCGGCAAGGTTCGCACATGCGCGGGCTCCGCGGCTGGATGTGGGGGGGCTGAAAGCTGATCTCCCCCCGCCGTGCCAGTGGGCCCTTTGGATGGACGCGGGGGTGCCGCTCCCCCTGCTGCACCGGCAGGCTGCAGCGGGGGCGTCCGTGCTGTCCTTTGCAGCACAGGAGAAAGGAACGCAGAGGGTGCGGGGGGGGGCTGAAGAACACCATCGACAACGAAGGGCCCCCCGCAGCCACTCGCGGCGGTGCTCGCAGCGCTGGTGAAGGCGCCGCAGATGGAGGCGCGGGCAGGGACGGGCGGTCTCCATTCCTGTGCTGCCTCTCTGTTGGCGAGGCTTGTGCGCCCAACTCTGCGGGTGACGGGTTCTTGGTCTCACCCCCCAGTCTCTCATGGTGTACAAAAGAGGCACCCCTGGCTTCCGAATCGTCTATCCTGGCATCACTGTCCTTAGACTGGCACTGCTCCAGCGCTTTAAAGAGCACGTCCCAGGTGGCTGCCAAGCTGCACACGCTGGTATCTCCTGCAGCTAGCTCAGACCATAAGCAGTCTCCCACTGACAGCCAAATCTCGAGGTTAAAGGCATTATCAAGAGTCACAGTAAAACTTTGCACTTTTACTCACTGGAACAAAGTGCACATAGCATCTTCAGAAATATCAAGTCCCATGCACAGCAAGGTGTCTTGCCACGCAGAGAAGACAAGCTGTTCATTAGTTCAATTGCGGTTCTTCATTGTGAGAACCGTCTATCTTGACGGCCCGTGAATGCAGTGATGCAGACACAGTGGCTTAAGCAGGGACTTTAAATTCTAGCTTCGTCAAGGTAAGCCGTTCCAAGCCCGCTCACTGGCAGGGCTCCACCATCCCATTGGTCTAAAAAAACCAGCTCCCTCCAGGGGAGCCCGGGAGATTCTCACTTACCCCTCTGTGGGGGAAGCGGCTGGCTTGTCGACCACTGGCTGCACTGACCCTCGGGAGTCACTAGATGCACATCACGTCGGGGTCACCAGATTTTGCTCTATTAGGAACGGCAAGAAGAACGACACAGACTCTCTTGGGAGTCGATCAGGAGAATTTCTCTCTGGTTTATTACCTCAGGTCTTTTTTATAGACAGATACGTGAAAAGTACAGAAAAGAAACTCTTATTGGTTAGTAAACTACCACATCACCATCATTGGTCAGTGGGGTACACCACCCCTCGACCTCCTCTTGCAAGAAAACAAGGAACAGAGAAACAGCACCTGCAAGGCTGTTCTCTATCTCTGAGGATTGTTTTAATTCCTCCTTATGAATTCCCAGGCCACTTTCACAGGCAAGACTGAGAAAGCTATGTGGCCTGCAATTTCCACAGGCACCATGCTCTCTATTTCAGAGTTAGCATCCATAGCCACATCCCTGTCCATGTCTATGTCACTCTCCATGTCCCACCATGTCTATGTCACTCTCCATGTCCCACCATGTCTATGTCCCTCAATGTTCTCACCCATGTCTTAATTCAATGTCTTTATTTTTACCCCAAAATGAGATATTTTAAAGGAAAGAAGAGAAATGAAAAGAAAATCAAGGCCAAAACAAAAGGATTTCTTTGTGTTAGCTGAGCATCCCTGTGACTGAGTGGGAGGGAAGAAGCTTTTTTGGAGGGGTTTCCACCCCACTGTCTCCAAAACCTTGATCTTTGCCCCACTTCATCAACATTTGGCTGTGGAAAACACCCTTGAGCAACAGGAAAGCAAAATTGTGCAATCAGTGAGGTTGAAAAAGACCTCCAAGACCATCCAGTATTCCTTGATGCCACCAGAAGATAAGATTGAATGCAAAAGATTTTCTGGGATTGAAAGTCAACAAATCTGCCCCCCACAAGGAATTCCCGTTGTTGGTCTGGGTCCCTATGTTGTTCCTGCCCCTGTGTTCATCCAGGTGCCCACAGGGAGCCAGGAAGATGTGGAGCCTCCCAGCCAGGTGTCTTCCCAACACAGATCACCAGGACGACGGATCACCAGGGCTCTGCCCAACGGGGGTCACTGGGGATCATCCAACGCCCATCCTCCCATGGCGGATGGAGCTGGATCAGCGCACGAAGCTCTTCCCACACTCGGGGCACCCGAAGGGCTTCCTTTACTGGTGCCTCCGTTGGTGTCTGGACAGGTGAGAGCTCCTGGAGAAGCTCTTCCCACACTGGGGACACTCGTAGGGCCTCACCCCAGTGTGGATGCGCTGGTGACTGACAAGGGTGGAGTTGCGGTTGAAGCCCTTCCCACAGTCGGGGCAGCGGAAGGGCCTCTCGTCTGTGTGAATCCGCTCATGTAGGAGGACACTGGAGCTGGTCTGAAACCTCTTCCCACACTCGGGACACTCGTAGGGCCTCTCCCCAGTGTGGATGAGCTGGTGCTTTCTCAGGTCAGAGCTCCACCCAAAGCTCTTCCCACATTCCAAGCAGGTGTAGGGTCGTTCCCCTGTGTGGATCACCTGGTGTTTCATCAGGTCAGAGATACTTCTGAAGCTCTTCCCACATTTCCCACACTCATAGGGTCGTTCCCCACTGTGGATCCTCTGGTGTTTCGAAAGGTCGGAGCTCCGGCTGAAGCTCTTCCCACATTCCAAGCACTTGTGGGGCTTCTCCCCACCATGAGGTTTCACCCCCAGCTCTGAGCACTGGCTCGATCTCTGGCCATGTTCCTGGCACTGGGGGGATCTTTCCACCTTGCAGCTCCCTGGACTGGGTTTGCAGCCCCTCCTCGTGTGGGATCTCTGGGCCTTTTCCTCTTCCTGCTCCATCTGGACACGTTTTGGTCACGTAAAATTCCTGTTTGGGGGGAAATAAACAACAGGAGAGCACCTTGGTCTGGGGGTTCCTCCTTGCCCAAGTTCATCTCAGAAAGTCATTGGGCATCTTCTGTCTGTAAGAATCTCTAAAACACCAACATTCAGCCCAAACAAGGAAACACAAATCCAAAACTAATCAAACAACAAGATTCAGCCAAAACCCCCTGCAGAATAGAAATGTTCAGCCCTCACAAGAAATCAAAGCACCAAAATTTAGCCCAATAAAGATTAGAAACACCAAGATTCAGCCCCAAGAAAATCGTGGATCCCCCTCCCCAGTCACCCGCTGCATGTGGGGAGGCAACGTTCCTGGGCTGGGGGACCTGAAGATTCAGGGATGAACTTTGTGCTGCTTCCTCTTCCTGCTCCTCCTCCTCCTGAGTCCCTACTCTACCTCACACTCCTCCTCCTCCTCCTTCTGCAAAACCCCAGGTACATAATTTCATCATTTTGCTCTTCAACCCTGCTTCTCCTTCCCTTCTCCTCCTGCCCCCAGGCCCAGCACCCACTGCCGCCTCCCTCTTCCCCCCCAGTCCCACAGCATCCCACCACAGGGGCACGGATGGAGCTGGGCCAGCTCGGCCTGGGGCAGCGCTGGGCTCTCGGCCGCTTCCGCCCGCACTCGCTCCCCACTGCAGCCGCTCCCGCCACCACAGCGCGGGGGGGCCCGGCCTTGGCGCTCCCCCCTCCCACCTCCCCAAATTCCCCTCAAGGGGGGTGCCAAGGCCCGGGGGGGAGGGGCGCAGCTGGGCTCCAGCTGGGCAACGCTGGCAGCTGCGGCTCTGCCTGGACACTGCTGAGTCATCAGTGCCGCGTGCTCTGATTGGCTCAGCCCTGCCTGAGCCCTGCGCCTGCACCAAGGGGGGACACCCTGCTCCAGGGGGGATGGCCCCAAAACGGGGGAACCCCAGCAAAGGAAGAACAACAAAGGCTCTTTACAAACTGATCCCGTCAACCTCATTGCACATAGGGCCAGGGACGTGGACATAAGGAAGTGACAGGAGGAGCCATCAGCTGCACAAAATGTTATTAATTGATGACACAGACTGCTGCTCAGCCAAGGTCCTGCTAAATTCATCAACTTCCAGAAGAACAACAAAGACTTAACACAGCCATCAATATCGTTAGCTATACAAAAGTGGGGTGCATATTAAGGGGGTATGTAGGAGGTGCATTGGGAAGTCTGTACCTCCACAGTACTTCAGCCAATGTGGAAAGGGAGAGGGAGATGTGACGGAGAAAATTAGGATGAAAAGGAGGCTGTGTCCACCAGCAACTGGAGAGACCCCATGGGAAATGTCCCATAGCCTCATCCCATTTTTATGAATGAAATTACTGTTACAGGACATCTCTGTCTCCTTTGTGGACAGAAACTTCTGGGGATGTCAATTTTTCCACACACCTTGGGGCTCCTCCGCAATTCCTTCCACCGTCCGGGCCGGCGGGCAGTGAGTGCAGCTGAAGGTGCCTCACCCAGTTTGGGGGATCGGCTCCCTCGGCTGGCGGCGGCACCGGGGATTGATTGGGTACCCGAGAGTGAGCAGGAGACAGACGAGTGACAGATCAGGGGGGCTGTCAAGAGTCGGCAGGGAGAGAGCACTGAAAATCTCAGCAGTGACTACAGTGGGATCTTTGGGGAGTAAACATGGCAGGGTACCCAGGGAGGGGACAAAAGGGAAAGCCAGAATGGGGTCCCAGCAAAAGGGATGAGGATCCCAAAATATCTCTCAAGGGTCCCTTGGGAGCATGTGGAGGTCGTTTGCATATTCTCCCAGAGGGAATTAAGGACATGGACACCCAGGAGGACAATAAGGGAAGTCCAGAAGGGATTTAGACAACAGGGGATCGATGTTGTTGGTGTGCTGGGAAGGGATTGGCTGAAGGGGAGTGTGCAGGAATGTGCTTAAGGCAAGAAGCAGCAGGAGGAATCTATAGGGTAAGAAAAAGGATGATGGAAAAGAGGAGGAACAGAAAAATACTGAGGACTGGGATGTTTTTCAGAATGGTCTTATCCTCAGAATGTTCCAGATGACTCAGATCCTTTGTATCCAAGTTTTCCAGGACAGGAAAACAAGGAGGTCAGGATTTCAGGGGGTTTCTCTGAGCTGGGAGTGGCAGGAGCGGGCGCAGAGCTGCGGCACCGGGAGCACGGGCTGGGGGCCTGTGGGGAGCTGTGGGGCCGGGCCGGGGCTGTGGGGCAGCCGGGGCTCAGCGCCGGGCGCTGCCTGAGCCCAGCACCCCCCGGGCAGG